GGTTCAAGCGATTTTCCTGCCTCAGCCTCCGGAGTAGCTGGGACTACAGCAGGTGTGTGCCACCACGCCCAGCTAGTGTTTTGTATTTTTAGTAGAGATGGGGTTTCACCCTGTTAGCCAGGACAGTCTCTATCTTCTGACCTTGTGATGCGCCCACCTCGGCCTCCCAAAGCGCTGGGATTACAGGCGTGAGCCACCGTGCCGGGCCAAGGCAACATTCATTTTCTTACATTTCTGGAAACGAGAAGTCCTAAAGCAGGAAACACTGGGCTGAAATCAAGTCGTGTGCAGACCTTGCTCCCTCCAGAGGCCCCGAAGGCTCCTTCCTGCCTCTCCCAGCTTCTGAAGGCTCCAGGCACGATCTCAGCTCACTGCAACCTCCAGCTCCTGGGTTCAAGCCATTCTGCTGCCCCAGCCTCCTGAGCAGCTGGGATTTACAGGCGTGAAAAGGAGAGAGGCTCTGACGCCCGCCACAGCATGGATGCACCTTGATGACGTCACGCCCAGTGAGCTAAGTCAGACACAGAAGGCCACTCAGCATGTGACTCCCTTTGTATGAAATGTCCAGGACAGCCTTGTCCACAGAGGCAGGAAGGGGACGTGTGGGTGCCAGGGGCAGGCAGAGGGGATGGGAGTGACGGCTGATGGGGAAGGAGCTTCTTCTTGGGTGATGGAATTTTCTGGAACTAGATGGTGGTGGTAGTTGCACAGCTCTGTGAGGTACTAAAATCACTGAGCCACAGGGTGTAAGTGGGTGAATTTCGTGGTATATGAATGATGTTTTCAAGGAGGCATTAAAGAAACAGTCGCCTGGGGTGGGGCCGGCCTCCCAGGTGTGTGTCCCATGCCCTGTCCTTCAACACAGGGCCCCAGATTACCCTTCTGGGCGGGCACGGATACTCCGCGAAGGCAGGCTTGGGCTCCTGCTGGCGAGAAGATGGAGGATGTTTCTTCAGTGCCTGCTGCTGTGCCCTCTGCCCAGCGTGCTCCGTGGAGGGTCTCATTTTATTCCTCCAGAAGGCTCTTTATCGGC